TGTGACTTTGGCGACCGGGTTTTGACCCTTGCATTAGGCTGCTTTATCCTTTCAGCTGTAAAATCAAAAGGAGGTGAAGCGGTGGTAGAAATCCGGTCGGTTTTTCTCAAAGGCCAAAAGGGAATTTGGGACAAAGGAAGCCGTTTAATTTCTTTGGCCTCCTTAAGCTGTTGACTGGTGGATGAACAGATGTAACTACATAACATCAGCTGTATGCAATTAAATATATTGTTTGTCTTTGCAGATGTCCAGAAAGATTCCTGTATATACACAGCAGAACTGTGTGAGAGGTATAGGCCTGCACAGCCACACGGGGACAGTCGAACTGCCTGGCAGGCCGCGGCAGTGCTGGCTGGAAAGCTGAAGGGCCTCGAACGGTACTGGACTCTCTCAGGGAATCTGACCTTGCACTTCATTTCCATTGTCTTTTAAATAGGCTGTCATTTAAACTGGCTCAAATATGATGCAGGAAATCAAAACATCAGCCCAGGGATGGTGCCACTATTGAAACAGCATCTGACTCCTCCTGGCTGTGATTAGACTTGGTTATTTTGGATAGATCTTATTTCCGCTCCTATCAGCTGGAGGGGCAGCAGGTCATTTCTATCTTGCCCATCCCAAAGGACAAAGACATGCATCAACAGCCCTAAAACAGAAGGGAAATGTCCAGTGCCTGCTCTGCTGCCAGCACAACATGCTGTTGTAGCATAGAGGAACGTGCACCTCAGAAGGAGATGCTAAGCAGCAAAATGTGCACCCCTTTCTTCAAACACTCTTAGGAGCTAAAGCAAAATATAAGGTGTGGTAACAGGATGTATGTTGAGGAAAGCAGAGGACATATAACAAAAATGAATGGGATAATGCATTGCTTAAAAATGTGATGCTCCTCTGCCCGCTGCGACACCACTCCATCAGGCAAACATAGCCACACGTGGGCCTGAACCCGGGCTAAAAAGCCAATGTGAAGAGTGGGATTTCCTTGTGCTGGGGGTCAAGTGGTTCAGGTTGCAGTGAGCTTATTTTAGAAAATCTGTCTATGTCTCTGGTATAGCTTTGGACTGAAAAATCACCTTTGTCTAGAAATACCAGGGCTCCCCTGAATGACGGGAAAACATGCATATGAAGCTAAAACATTTGCTGTCACTTAGGGTACCATTCAGTTAAAGACTTAATTTCCTGTTCTTATGTCTCCTTCAGGCTCAAAAGTTTGCTGTTGCTTTAACTTCCTATGCTATTCTTAGATTTTTGACTCCTGGAAAATCGAGGAAATAATATATCAAAATACTTTTTAAGGGGTAGGTGGTCCCTTGAAGGACCTAGAGGCATTGCTAGTAATTTAACTGGCAGAAGCTTTATTTTTCAGAATACATATGGTGTCATTTTTTTTACTACATTTTTTACTATGATACTTCCACAGCAAAGAACCCTGGTCTTCAGCTCCATGAGTAGAGACATGCAAGGATACCAAATGGAGAAATGGCAGCAAACGGGAACGTGGCATGTTACACAAGTGTTGTTAAAGCTGCCTGTAAGGATCCCGAACAAGAGGTCTTGAATCTTTTTGCAAGTAAATCATAATTTTAAAAAATCTATTGCTTTATCTGCACCTCAGATTTTGGCTGATGTTCCCTACTATTCTGCTGGTGAAATGAAGAAGGCAGCAGGATGCCCTCACACCTCCAAAGACATTTCTCTCCTGTGAAATGATGGCTCACTTACAGAAACCAAGTATCTGTTTCTTGGTCTTTCTCCCTCTGTACTCTGAGGAGATTCCTTGTTAGCTGTGCAGTCAATAAAAAACCCGTATCTTCAGCAACTAATAAATCTAGTTTATTAAAACACAGGTTTGGCAGTTAATTCAATTGGTAACAAAGTTGTAGCATGGTCAGTACAAAAAAAAAGTGACCTCATAAGTGAAATACATATATCCTCTAGATGCAAAATTATCTGATAATTTTATATAATAAGTGTGCATTGGATGGATACAGACAAAAACACGCTAGTGAGATTAGACTGTGACTAATTTTTTCCATTCCCTTTTAGTATTTAAGGTGTACAATATCTCATCAGAGGCTCCAAGATTGTCACTTGTCCCTGCTCAGGTCTACTCCTGACAGGGAGAAATCACAGAAGAAGAGTTTGGCCCCTTTATTTCCAATTATTTGTCCACTGTCTTTCTGTGCAGACTGCCATTTGGATCCCATTCCCATTACAAACCAGTGGGAATATTCCCTTTTCCTTCAATAGCATGGGACGAGGCACTGCAGGAGTTCACATGGCATCATTAGGTTGGATCTCAGGTATGCCACTGAGTTATTGAAATAAGGATTTGGAGCATGAACTTTAGTGAAGACTTATGACAAAACTCTGTGCTTACATCAAAGGCAGCATAGGACTGAACCAGATTAACTCTGCAATTGAACATAACTCTTAGATAGCCGAGAAAAATGTGACTTTCCCAGTGATGTGCCAAGTATTTTTCCACCTGACAAGCAATGATTTGTTTTCTGCATATTTCAGACAGAGCTGAAAATAGCTAGCTGCAGTTCTTTTTGTTTGGGAGCGATAACATTCAGTTTATAGAATATTCTCCAAAAGGTTCACAGCATTAAGAAGGTATCTTCACTTACAGAAACCTTCTTTTGGGTGGATTTCACAAGGAGGGAAGACTTTCAGCATCTTTGTTAGTTTTCATATGGGGCAGTCTGCTTTCCTGGAAAATATGACAAAAATTCTTATCTTTTTTTATTAAAAAATGAAGTAATTAAAAATTAAATCTAAATGTGGTCAAACTGAGTTTGGAGCCTGTTTTCACTTAACTGAAAGTAGTCTGATTTTCAGGAAATGTATTTTAGAAAATATTCAGAGACTTAAAAATGCAGGCAGCCATTTGATGAGATTTTCCAAAGTCCACACAGGTGTAGCTCCCCATTGCTTTCTAAAACGGCCCTCCTCCTCCTCCTCCTCCTCTGCCGCCCATCTTTCCTCCTGTTCCTGGCTATGTGCTTCCCTGTTGTATTGGTGCGTCTTTGACGTCAGGGGGTTCAAAACAACTACAAGTTAATCCTGTGAAAAAAGGGACCACTTTCCTCCTTGGAGCAGGCAGGACGTGAGGGATTAGTCATCATTAGGATGCCTTTGGCAGCAGTTTGCTGTCAGACTGGTTTACCTGTGCGGAGGAAACCGCTCCCTAGCTACATGTCTGGGCCAAAATAGTTTTAAAATTTTGTCTCTGGATCCCTGCGTGGGGACTGGGCTGCCTGACCTTGGCTTTCAGAAAAGCACTGGCACCACCGAGCGTAAAAACAAGTTGTTGCAATGACCTCGAAGGAATCGGTGCAGCCCGGTGCTCCGTGCGCCCGCATCCTGCCCTCGCTGCCAGCAGTCATCTGACTCAGAGCACGCCATGCCGACGCCGTTGGCTTGAAACCATTATCTCACCTGACAATCAGTGAAATGTTAAGCAAAATATCTCAGTGGCCTTCTCAGAGTGGAAAATTTAGAAATGTTAATGCCTTCCGAAGAGCCTGAGCCGGTGCTGGGTCCTCTTTGTCCCTCTGCCTGCTTTGTAAGTCAGCCTCAGCGGAAAGTATCGGTGACGGTTTACATCTCGGTTTTGTGCAAACTTTTGGCCGGTGTTCGCAAAGGGAACTGACAGGGCGCTGTGAATCTGTTGGGTATCGCAGCGTCTGAACCACGCGCCTCTGCACACACGGGGAAACGGAGCACAGAGAGGTTCAGACACAGACACTGGGCTGGTCAAGTGAGCAGTTTCCCTTCAGGTCACTGGTTGAGTCTTGTGAAATGAAATAAACAGACTCTAGTAGCAAGGTAAATCCCTTTCAATCCTTTGTCCTGGGGAGGGTGAACACTAGAGATATATGTACATTGCTAAGCAGAAGAGGACCAGGGACAACACCTGACCTTTGATCATCCTGCCTCGATTTTGGCCATCCCCAACTAGCTCTCCCCAAGACACTTTTGCTCCAGAGGTGCCTGGCACTGAGCAGCATGGCTGCAGACTGACTAGCACCACGCAGCCTCTGCCATTGAATAGCATGGACCCAGTCTAGATGTCCCATTGGGACCGTATGTATATCATTTTGCAATTCTGCATTTGCGGTACAAACTTCTGATTCTCGCTTTGAAATTTTCAGCAGCGAAGTAATAGAGGATGGGATCAAGGCAGCTGTTCATGGCAGCAAGGCAAAGAGCAACCACCAGTGCTTTGTGCACGGGCAAGTTGGCCTGGCTGCAGCTGCTGTGCACCAAATGGACAGTTCGCAGTATGTGATACGGCAGGAAACAGAGGAGGAAGAGGATGAGAGTGATGATGATGGTTGACAATGCCTTCTTGTGACAGACCGCCTTCTTGCACTGTGGAGTCCTGGACTTGAGCAACGCTTTGATTGCAAAGATGTAGCACACAATAATTATGCAAAATGGCAGAATGAAGCCCATGACAAGGACAAAGCTGTTCATCACGAGCAGCGTCTGCGTGCTGGAGGGGTGGAGGTCCAAGCACTTGGCTGGATTACTGTACCCAGCGATTCCCTTGCTTAACAGAGGGCTGGAGGCCACCAGCACAAAGACCCATATGGCTGTGCATGTTATCCTGGCATACTTCATGTTGATTACTTTCCAGTGTTTGAAAGGGTAGACAATGGCTGCGAAACGAACCATGCTGAGCACAGTGAGAAAATAAATGCTGCAGTACATGTTCATGTACAAGGTGTAAGTCATGATCCTGCAGAAAATATCACCAAATATCCAACGTGATCCCAACAGGAAATATGTGGCCCGAAAGGGCAAAGTGCTCACAAACATGAGATCTGAAACAGCCAAGTTCTGCATGTAAATGTTTACCAAGCTCTTCCTCTGCGAAGGCTGGAAGAAAACATAAATGGAGAGGCCATTTCCAACAGTACCCAGGAAGAAGATAAAGAGATACATGATAGGATAAATGGCTTGCTTGAAACTGTCAATCGTACAGTTGAAGGAGCTGTTAGTGAAGTTGTCATCTCGTGCCATCTCAGAAATATTCATAGTCTAGGGCCAGGTTCTCCGTCTTTCTGCCAAAGTAAAAAGAAGTGGTGTGAGTGCTGGGTTAGAGGCTGGGCAGGGAGTTCAGCTGTTCAGGACTGTTTCACTGAGGGCAGAAACTGCAAGATGCAGAGGGCAGTGGAAAGTAAAGGTTCGTTAATGAGTTTTGTGGACATCATTACTTGTGATGTCCCAGTAAATACACATCTCGGGGCATAAGTTACCTCTAAACATTTTCAGTATTACAGCAGCTGGTTGTTGTCTCGACCTATGAAAGTGCTGCCTTTTAAAGGTGAGTGCTATGGGTGTGTTTTAATGGCAATTCTCTGATCTTCTCTGAGCAAAACAAGCCGTCTTGCTGCCAGCCATTTTGTAGCAGGTGAGGTGTTGAGTCCCCAGTTACCTACCATGGAAATATCAAAACCTGATCAGAAAAGAAATCACTGTCCATTGGTAAGTCTGCGTTTCAAACTAGAGTGAAAAGCCAAAAGAACTGAATTTGCCTTTTGGAACTAGTGAAATTTTTCTGGTATGTTGTTGGCAGCATGTCACTGAACTTTCCTGAGCAATACCAGAGGTATGTTGATATATGTCAGAATGTATAAATTAAGGACCTTTTGACTTTAAACACTGCGTAAATACTGTGCTAGTTATGCACGGTTCCTTTTTAATCTCCCTCCTCCTTACACTGTATTTCTTCTTTATTGTAAATTTCTGATGGCTTTCTGTGTCTCTTTTTGTGGGGCCTTTGCTTCATTTGCCACTTTCTCAACCTTTTTTGTGCTCAACTGCTCTGCATCAGACAGTCATCTGCACGCACCGCAGCTGCCAGGGCAGCCCGCGTTTGCAGCCCTAATGAAAATGGCCTGTGAGAAAATGGGCTGTGTTCACAGAGAGTGACATTTTTCCTCCTATGAGGCATTCGATCACATCAAAACCACTCATCACTAAAACACTCTAAATATGATTTTTTTTCTCATTTGAGTCTATTTCCTTGCTGAACTCCCGATTTCTTCTCTTGGCTGACCTGCAGCTAGTAGTGTTTTGAAAGGAAGGCTTCAGTATGGTTGCTTATTTAATAGTGGGAGCAATTCCCTGTCTGCATCTGCCAACATATTCTAGAGACAGAGCATGGAAAATTTTAGCCTAAAAACCAGAACTACATGGCATTTCTAGATGCATGAAAAAGCAGCAAATTAATGCCCCAGTGAGGGTGGTAAGGGGCTGATGGCACACAATGGCATTGTATCATTTCCTCTGGGCCTCACTGGCTTCACAATTTGAAATCAATTTATTTGCACAGGTGGAGTCTCCCTAGGGGGAAAAGTGGGCTCTAGATTTCGGTGCTCTGAACTCCCAGTTACCCAGTGCGGTATTCCCAGTATGCTGTAAATGGGAGCTAATTCGCAAACTCAAGCCATGGTGTGGGAGCCTAAGCTATATTCAGAGCAGCCCGTGGTATCTTGAGGGTGGTGTCTCAGAGTCTGTCTGGATCCCTTAATATAGCAACCAGATGTGCCCCAGCAGTCACCTTTTATCCAGCCCCACTGCGACAGGGACAGTCCCCCTCAGGCTGGGCTCCCTAGGAGCAGGACTTACCCCCATGTCCCAAGACGGGAGCGTAGCATCTCAGGGAAGGGGGACTTTTTGCTCACACCAACGTCATACCCATCCCTGCAGTGCCTGAAATTATCCCCCCAGGAAATACACGTAATAACGTCTATCAAGCTTAGGAGCACTGAAGACTGGAAATGGGCAAACGGGATATTGGGGCTTCAGCAAAGCCCCAGACTCAGTAAACGTGCTCCTAAAGCAGATCTCCTTCTCATTTGAGATCCTCTTTCCTCATGGTGGGGAGAGACAAGGTACACTTCCTAAGAACAAATCTTTTGCTACCAGAGGAGTTTTGAATGGTCTTGGTTTTCTGTACAAAGTGGATGTCTGACATACATATACATTTTCTGTTTGGAATCAAGGACCAGCTTTCCTCATGATGGAATCTGATCTCCCCATTTTGCAGGGAAACAGGTACTGCAGAGGGAAGAGCCCTTTTGACTGTGTTATCCTATGGCCCAAGCATCCTTGCCTTTAGAAACCCCAAAACACAAGAAAATATCAGTGAAGAGATCTGCCATCTGCTGAAGCATTCCTGTTGTGTGTGAAACCTGTGTGTTAGAGGAGTCAAATGAGGATGAAGAACCTGGAGTGTGTACAATTTCAAAGCCCTGCTGAGCACTACAAGTGATGGCTTGTGGTCCAATGCTATCTGCCAAAGGATAGGATTAGGGCAATGAAAAATCAGTTAATGAAAAGTGCTTGGGTCCCTGTGCACCTTGGGGAGAGCACTACAAGCACAGAGACTGAGGCACTTTTGCTCAGGCTCTTCATATGAGGTTATCGAGCTAACAACTGCCATTAAAGCTATTTTGTCCTCCTTATTTCTCCTTCCAGTGAAAGACCTTTAGGAAACTAGATGTGCAGGTGTAATTGAGAAAACCCAGAATCCTTGGATGTGGCAAGAAAGGCAGTATTCAGACTCTTCTCCAAATTATCAAAACAAAACTTTCAAGCTGTTACGGGATGTCTAAGAGAAAGAGGCTGGAGACCAGTCAACTGAAAGTTGTTTAACCACCATGGTGCCTGACCTCAGCCAAGGGCCAGGAACGACTTGTGCAATTATCATATGTAGATGCTCCTATTAGTTGTGTTTTAACATACAGATTAATGTAGAAAGGAAGGTGCAGTGAAAGATATATTTCAGACAGGAATACCTCAAGCAACCACAGAGAAGAAGGGGAGAATTTTACCCCTCCTTGAGGCCAGATGCTGTTTACTAGCCAGCTAAGGCTAGGAGATGGCTCCTAGATAAACAGAAAGAATGACATTATGTAAGGACAGGCACTAAACTTCATTTTCAGCACGAGTGTCCAGACAGTCTCCTGGGTCAGGAATGAACAGGGCAGGTTTTGGGTGAGAGACTAGACCTATAGGGTCCTCCAAAAGAAGGGAGGTTGGTGGTAAGATCTAACAGCCCTCTGAGAAAAAAAGAGGGAGAGAAAGGGACAGTTTGAAATGGGAATCTCTTGTAAGTGGTACCGCAAAACTTCTCTGATGGAAACTCTCTAGCGGGAGATTTTTTTCTATATATGAGTTTCCCTGATGAAGGCTATCAAACAGAAGCAGCTGATGCATGTCCCAAGGCTCTGACAATCACTCTGGCAGGAAAGAGCACATCAACTGAGCAAGAAAAAGGGAGGTTTTTCTGAAATAACTGCTGTTTTAGTAGATTAGATGTAGAGTTTGTGTGGGTTTTTGTCTTTTCCTCACCTCTGTGAAGCCTTTCAGAAATATTTACAGATTGATTAGTATGGATTTCATAAATAAATACTTACCTTTCATTACAAATTACATATATATTATAAATTATATGCATTTACTATGAAGAAATATTTTGCCTTTTATCTTAGCCTGGCTCGAGTGTTGTTTACAGTAAGGAGGTAACAGAAAGACATTCCATGTCTAAGGTGAATCTAACTTTCTTAACAAACGGATGGGTGTGCAAGCCAGGTGGGGAACTGACAGAGCAAGTAGAAGGTCTGTTTAATTGGAGGAGATACTAAACTAATAAAAGTGCCCCAAAACTGTAAGATTTTAAGCTCGGGATGCAGGTATCAGTCTAACAGCAGAGTGCCGGGGCACTGCCCAGGGCAGGTTTTGTGCATGTGTGTGCAGGGCAAGGGGCTGGGGTGTCTCGAGGCAAGAGTGGCTCAGCAGGAGCAGAGCAGGAGCAGGTCTGCCTGGACAGAAGACCTCATGAGATGTCTGTCCAGATCTCCCGGGGCTACAGGAGAGGAGCTGTAGTCACTGTGGGCACCAGGGATGAAAGTGGGATCTTTGAGGCTCAACTATGAGGCGAGAAGCTCAGGTCAGACCCACTGTTTCAGTGCATGGATGAGACAGTAGAGAGGAGAAATTTAGGTATGTAAGGAACTGAGGGACCTTTTGGGATAAAGGCAAGTGATATAGAAATGAGAGACTGCACTGTACCCAGAGTGGAGCCAGGCTGGTGACGCTGCAGAATGAAAGGTTTGCAGAGGAGTATTTAATTAGAAGCAACAGAGGAGCTGATGGGCATGGGACAGCAAGTGGGCTGGACTGATGAGACCTGTGGGGGCAGTGAACTGACATCCAGTGCAACTCTGACAAGGCCAGCAGGGAGATAAACTGCAAACTAGGGAAGGCAAATCCAACTGCCCACAAGTCCAGTTGGCTGGCACATGCTATCTTGAGTGACTGAGCAAAAGCAAAACTTGCAGGTAATTCTACACTGATGTTCGAAGTCCAAAATGAGACAGGGGATCTGGAAGACTTGGCATGAGTCAGAAACCCTGGTGCAAGGGGAACCTCAACGACCTGCTGGAGAGAGGATAATCCATGAGAATCTGTGTTGCCATGTGTCCTGGTTTTGGGTGTGATAGAGTTAATTTTCTTCCTGACGGCTGGCATAGTGCTGTGTTTTGGATTTTGTATGAGAATATGTTGATAACACACTGACATTTTAGTTGTTGCCAAGTAGTTGTAGTGCTTATGCTCCATCAAGGACTTTTCGGCTCCCCGTGCTCTGCCAGAGGGGAGATGCACGTGGAGCTGGGAGGGGGCACAGCCAGGACAGCTGACCCAGGCTGGGCAAAGCGATATTCCCTACCAGATAACATCATGCCCAGTACATAAACTGGAGTTGGCTGGGGGTGGGAATCACTGCTTGGGGACAGGCTATCGATCACCAGGTAGTGAGCAATTGTTGCATTGTACATCACTTGTTTTTGTATATTCCTTTATCAGTAATATCATTCTTATTATTATTTCCTCTTTCTTTGCTGTCCTATTAAACTGTTTTTATCTCAACCTGCAAGGTTGTTTTTTTTTCCGATTCTCTCCCCGACCCCACCTTGGGAGTTGGGAGTGAGCAAGCAGCTGCATGGTGCTTAGTTGCCAGTGGGGCT